CGCCGCCGCCCTCCCCAGCAGGGGGAGCTGCTTCTTACAATTATTTAACCAAAACAAAACGACAGTGGCTTTTTTTTTGAGAAAAGCATAATCTGCTTTATTTTTTTTTAACTTTTTTATTTAAATAAGGAGAATTCTTTCATATGGAAAGAGCTAATACAATCACATATTTGAAAGGAGAAACAATAGGTACTGAAACGAGGAAAAAAGGGCAATAAAGTGTGCCGCAACTGGCCTGGTGATTCCGTGATTCGAGTTCCGGTCCAAGTAAAAGTTTCCAAAAAATATAAACAAGTTTTGCACGTTACACAATTATCCATCGTCTGCCCTTTCAAATATCTGGTCTACATGGAAAGACAAAGAGAGGAAAGGCCAAAAAAAAAAAAATTACAGGTTCATGAGGTTAAAAGCTTTAAGGAGTACAATATCCCCTTGAGAAACAACAAATGCAATTTATACGGAACGGGAAAAGGGATTCCAGCTAGGACAACGCCTGGAGACATGCGGAGGAGGGAGCGCCTCACTGCTGCGGCTGTGATTCCCAGGGCTACTGCTCGAGGTTATGGCTGCAGAGGTCTGGAGGAACGAAGCCACGAGGGTGGCTGTGGCCACCAGGAAGGCCTGGTGGTCTTTGGATTAAAACAAGAAACGTAAAAGAAGGGCTGGAAGAAGTCCCACTGCTTTTGCAAGACCCTCATCTCTCATCGATGGGCCGCATCTTGGGATAATCTGATGCTAGTTGTACATTAATCCTTACAAGGAAATCTTTCTCACGCAGAAACTGTGCTGCCGTACGTCAAAAAAAATCCCTTGCTTCAAAGAGTTAATCTGTGTTTAACCAGTCAGAAGCAAAAGATGTGGTTAAGGATATGGAACAGAATAGATCGTAGCATGCAGTGGTGCTCACTTGGTAGTGAATATAGCAGCCTGCCGAAAGGTGAGACATAGCCAAAGTGCTAAGCTCATTTTTTACTATATATCTATAAATACATGGGAACCACAGGGCAGCTTGTAGCTTTGAAGCATTCTTGCAAGGAAATTGTCAAAGAGAGTGCCTCTCTGCATGAGCACAAACACGTATGGAGTCCAATGGGCTGCAGAGACATTCAGAGTCACCGACTACGGTGCAGATGGCACATGGCAGAGCCAGGAGTGAATTATGAAAGATCAACAGTATCTGTTTCAGTAGTGACTGTGCTGCTTCCGCTTGTCATTTAAAAACATATTGGAGCCTGCAAAAAATATGTATTTTTTTCTCTTCTCTTTTTCTTCCCTGACCTCAAGTTTGTGTTTTTTAAATTAAGAGCCAAAAGCAGGCTGAGCTAGAAAGCAGCACTGAATGCAGCCGCAAGACCATGAATCATTGTGTAAGAAAACCACTTACAAACATGCTACAGACCTTTCGATGAGCAATCTAAGTAAGGAGCAGCAGAGTCAGCCTCTGAATATTTCTGCTTCACCCATTGTTGTTGAAAATGTGGATTCCACTTCTCCCTCCCACTACACACTGCATCTTTCCTAGCAGAAGGAGCCTGCAACATGGTAGCTCATTTCCAGCTAAAACAAAAGGAATAGCAGCGAGGGAATAAAGCACTAGGGTGCTACCCTTTAGCAGTAGAGATGGCAAGAAGTAACCCCTATAAATCATACCCATGTCCTGTACATCTCCACCCTCTTCCTCCCTCCAAGCAGAATTTACCTACCTACCAGCACATTTTCACACCTTAAGGATCAGAGACTTTCCTTTAGGATGAAAAGCACCACAAACTGCACTAACCTTGCGTTAGCTTTAAACAAACAAAAACATATGCTACAGAAGGATATTGCACCTTAGAAATTTGGGCTCTAAAACCGCTTTCCATCACACAAAACTCCATTAAGTGAAAGAGAGTCTTGTCAACTGCAGCTGACAGTCACGCAAAGGTGAGGAATGAAATGAAGCTCACATGCATTTCTTGGCCTTTCCTGCACAGAATAATTCAGACATAATATATAAATAGAGCAGTGAAACAATTACTTTTTCACCTAGACCTACAACATCAAATACGTATAAATAAATTCTAGTGTTTTATTCTGTTACGGGAAGAAATGGAGAAGATAAAAGAGAAAGAAGGATGACCTTTTTCAACAGGAAGAATTGTAGTTCTGATGGCATTTACACCAGAGGGACTGCAACATCTTGTATCCAGCAATAACCTGATTTCTCCAACACGTAAGACCATTTTCATGTCGTACAGGTGGGAGAAAAGAGGTTAGTGTCTTTGTAAAGCTTAAGTAGTGTGTCTAGAGGTAGGGAAGAGATGAGAAGAGGGAGGCTTGGAAAAGTCTCTGTAGCCATTACAGTTAGAACCTGGGCTAATATTAGCTAGGGCCAGCTGGGCAGAAAGACAACATAAAGAAAAAAAAAACAACTCTGTTGTTCATGATATTCCAAGGAAGAAAGAGGATGACTTACTGAGGGAGCAATCTTTGGAAAATCCTGGGAGCAGGCCTAGCAGATGAAGAGGCTGGTCTGGGAGATGTCTGAAGGCTAGGGAATTACTTGTCACTAAATCTTAAACCCTGTACTTTGGAGGATGCTATAGAGAGATACTGGCACACCCTGCTCTGAAGTTAAAAATCCACAAAACAAGAGGGGGGAAAAAAAAAAGATCTTTTATTTTTCTTAAAAGTACCATCCTATCCCTTTCCCTTTGGGTTCTCTGCCATGTGCAGTGGGGACACCTGTGGAGAGGGGACGTTACTATGCCTAAGTTAGTTTAGGTTTCTAAGCTCTTTTTAAAGCTATTGTATAAACATTCTGATTTACACCTAGCTTAAAACTTCAAATGCATCTCTAAAAGTTATGAAGAATCTTTCCCAGAAAGGGAAAAAAAAAAAAGCAAACGAAGAAACAAAAACACCTTTCAGATCCTTTCCCAAATACATTCTTTGTTCAAAATATCTTCTTTGGAACCACCAACAAATGACTTGCTGCCACCTAGCAGAGGCAGATGGGACAGACAATTAGCAAGCTATCATCTACTGCAGAAATGAAGTTTTCCTTCCCTCATTCCGGAGCGACTAGCCTACTTTACATTTTGAAGGAGTTAAACGACACAAACCAAGTTAGCCGGAAGTAGCTGAGTTTACTTACGCCTGACTTTCAGCTGAAGGACTCCAAGCACTTTCAGGAACTTGTAAATCCATCTAAAAGTCTTCACACACACACATACACACGCACCCCGCGAAACCAAACAACCCAAGAAATAAAACCCAGCCCCCTCCCCCTGGGACTTTCCTTTCATATAGCATCAAATAGTGAGCAAGCATAGGGTGGCAAGGCTGTATATGCACTATATGCAACTGCACCAGAAGGAAAGAACCCTTTGCTGTTCATCTGAGAAAGGAGAACAAAAGGATGATTCCAAACTGCCTCTGTAACCATGTGCTTCCAACGCCAGCAAAAAGGAGCTTCTTTGTATGCTAGAACAGCTGCTTTGCAAAGGAGCTCCCTTGCTGATGGGATTCGATGCAAGGTTTACAGGAGGCTGTGAGTTAGAAAGAGGAGCAGAAACAAGACCTTGGGAGAAGGGAGAAGAGCAAAGCTTAGGAAAGCAGCCCCAAGGGAGGAACACAACACAGAACTAGTCTCAGGAGACACGAAGAATGAGAGTGGCCAAGGTAGGGAGCATAAGAGAGCATCACAACTACAAAAAGTAGTCCATACAGACCCGTTGGCTCTAGCCAACTCTTCTGACCCATGTGAGGTGAAGAGATTTTTTCTTAACAGAGTTTACATTTTGTAAATCTATGCTTTACATTTTGCTGCATGTGTACAGTCACTAGAAAAAAAAAATCCCAAACCCACAACAAAACTAGATCCAGATGAGCTTGCAACAGAAATTCGGTGATTTTTTTCTTAAAACGAAAATGCCACATTTT